CCACAGCATGTAAAAATATAATATAAGCTCTGGCGTACTTGGTTCTATGGTAGGTCTTAAAGGGTTAAACGTAGGTTCACTTAAACATGTTCTTCCTCTGCTCCTCGCAGGGCCGTGCTGGAGCTGATGGTGCCAGAGGAATGCCAGGAGAGACTGGAGCTAAGGTACCCTCACTGCCTTTATTTCAACACCACCAGCCTGAAGCCTCCACTCTGTCTCCGTAGCTTTTTTATTGGTCCAATAAGAACTGATATTAAATACTGGTGTCATTTTGGTGCCAAAACCTCGACACAGTCAGTTTGTTCTCCCTGATTATTCAGCTGTATCAAAGTCTTTCTCATGGATCCTGAGGCCTCGGCCGTGTGCTCATTGTTATTGTATTGAGATCGTTTCTGATGCATTTCTACTTTCTACAGTGAGATAATACTAATGTTTATGTCTGTGTCTTTCACAGGGTGACCGTGGTTTCGATGGTCTTCCTGGTCTGCCTGGTGATAAAGGACACAGGGTACGTCTAACAGACTCAAAAACAATGATTGTTTTTCAGTTATTATCTTTATTACCACTTTATTTACATCTGCTTCATCCTTATATTTTATTAGGGTGACTCTGGACCACTGGGACCACCAGGGGGCCCAGGAGAGGACGGAGAGCGGGTACGTAGATCTGCGAATATTATTACATCCAGATATTGTGTCACTGCTGATCAGCATCTTTTCATCCATAACGTGCTTCTTCTTCTGTGTTTGCAGGGAGATGATGGAGACGTTGGACCTCGGGGTCTCCCAGGTGAACCAGTGAGTGTTTCAGTGACAGCCCAGCTGATTCTACACCTCCCACTTTTTTCTATTTATGTTCTACTCGTGCTTTTATTGTCTGTGTTTTAAATGGTCTCCCAAAATACATGCCTCTGTTTTTATATCTCACATAACAAGGTCACCTTTGCACCTGTTGTTTCATAATCATCACACCTTTATGATATTTTAGGGATCTTTACTGTAATTAATAATGTAGTGCAGTAACATGAAGACGGAGGAGCCAACGTGCTTTTAGAATCACTGAAATAGGGAGTTGTGTTTTTTATGCAGCTAGTTGTAGGTCAGACTTTTAGATTACCTCTTTAAATAGCTCATTCTGTATTTATACTTTTATATAAGAGTATAAGTTCTCTTTCTTTATGTTTTTCCTTTCATTTCCATTAAAAACAATAGTATGTGTGAGTGAATGATCTTGGTTTGCATGAGCGTCTTACGCCTGTGTGTCCTTGTGTGTTTGCAGGGACCTCGTGGTTTGCTTGGACCCAAAGGTCCTCCAGGAATCTCCGGACCTCCTGTGAGTAGAAGCGATTTCACGCCCAGCCTTCTGCTGTTATTTTGGCTGCATTGTTTTACTCCACTCTGACCACTGAGCACCCACAGCACCACCTGAACCAACAGCCAGTAACCTGGTTTCATCCCAAATCTAAAAACGAACATGTGATGTTCCCACAGCCTCCTCAAAACAATACCAACATATAAAAAAATGAATGCATGATATATTTAAACTTTCTGCTTGCTCTGCTAAAGTAAAGTTTTAGCTTTAAGGGAAGTTCAGTCCATCAGTTTAATATGACAGAAGCTGAAACATCAGTGTTTTTGTTCCTTGTATTTTTCTTACAGATTTTAAATATGTAATGTTAAACACAGTGAACACTTTTTATTACTCTCACATTTGTTTTGAAATTTTATAACATGTTTAAGTACAAACCAGCACTTTCAGACAAATACTTTGTGCACTTTTTTCCAAAGACTTGTGTAAAATTAGCCGACTGCACTTTAAGTAGGAAAATGCCCACAAAGACAAACCTGCATCAACATCAAAATGTTTCGTTTTCTATGAGTGATGCTGAGCAAAGCACCAGACATGATGTTTTCAGTTGCTTTGACTAGAAGCTGACATTTAGACATTTATGGGGAATCGTTTTTAATTTCTTCCTCTCGCTCTTCTCTCAGGGTGTTCGAGGAAACGATGGACCCCACGGTCCCAAAGGAAGCTTGGTCAGTAACAGTTTCCATGTTATCCTGTTATCGTGTGTATTTGAACATTTAAGATCAGAACTCATAATGTTAACACAAAACTTTTCTTTTAGCTAGTTTCTGACAGATTCTCTCCTCCTCCTCTTTCCTTCACTTTGCCCTGCGCTGATCGTTATTCTCTCCTCTTCTGTTTCTGTCTCTCAGGGTCCCCAAGGTGAGCCAG